CATTTATTTTTACCTTATTTGCTCAACGACTCCCAAACGATTCGCTCAACCATTCATTTTTCCAAACAGCTCCTTTGCGTGGCGCTAATCTGCGGTGATTGGTCTGATTTTAATGTCATCTTGCCTGTAAAGCCTGATAAAGCAGTGTTTGTGAGCGCAGTGCTGCTTTGTGTACAGCGTTACCGGGGAAACCGCTATTTTTACCGCTCCAAAAGAGACACCTAGTGGCAAAGAATGAATTTGTATTTTTATTCAGACAAACGCGAAAAGACCAACTCTTTGCAGGATGTTTTCATTCACTTAGAGCTGTGTTACACACTGCAGGAAAGGTCATTTTCAAAAATCCATAGTAGGGGCACTTTAAAATGTTATTTGCGACTTTTTATCGCATAGTTGACTCTTTTTCCTCACAATTGTTAATTTATATATTGCAATTTGCGAGTTATTAATTGCAAGTTATTAGTTGGTGAGATGTAAACTCAGAATCCCAACTTTTTTCAGAGAATTTTAAGTTTATTTCTAACAATTGCGAGTTATTAATTCCGAGTTATTAATTGCGAGATGTAATCGCAGAGTTCCAACTATTAATCGCAAGATGTAAACTCAGACTTAGAACTTTTTTCTCAGAATTTCGAGTTTATATCTGACAATTTTGAGTTATTAATTGTGAATCATTTATTGCGAGATGTAAACTTAGAACTTTAAACTTTTTCTAACAATTGTGAGCTATTATTTGCGAGATGTAAATTAAGAATTCCAACTTTTTTCTCAGAATTTCGAGTTTATATCTGACAATTTTGAGATATTAATTCCGAGTTATTAATTGCAAGATGTAAACTCTGACTTCTACATTTTTGCTCAGAATTTTGAGTTTATACATAACAATTGCGAGTTATTTGCTAAATGTAAATCAGACTTCTGAGGGAAAAGGTTAGAATTGCGAGAAAAAAGTCAAAATTCTAAATTTACATCTTACAATTAGAAATTTGCAATCGTGAGAAAAAAATCTAATTAAAACAAAAAGTTGCAAGTACCTTTTATATATATATAGGGTACAACGGGGCTAAAGGCACCCCCTAAGAAAAAAATGTGCTTTTCACTGCACCTAAGGTGTACGATTGCAGAGCAAATATACGCTTGTATTGAACATTAATGGAGCAACAGATTTTGTGTGAAAATAAATCATACAAGTCGTTTATTTTGTTTAATACAAATACTTCAGCTAAAATAATGTTTAACAGCTAAGTTAATACTTGATCAAAACAGTCACTTTAGCAAAGTTTGTACTATATTCTGCTTATTTTGACAAATAAAATAAATAATTTTTGTTCAATAAATATACTGTCATTAAAATGTCAATATAAAACATATATTTTAAAATACAGAAACAAAATCATTTTAAAAAGTAAAGATTCTGAAAGCATCGAAGGAGATCCTATAACAATTGAATATATATTTACAGTAGTAACAACAAATGATATTTTATTATATGCTATGATTAATAAACAAAACTGAAAATCATAAAGAAGACCTTTGTCTCAGAATATATTCAATAATTTTAGCTACTTAAATCTACAACATTTTAAAAAACATCAAATATTAGATCAACTAAGCTCATTTGCAAGGATCCCATCAAGGATCAGACAAATATACACGTGCATCTTGAAAAGCGGATGTTTTGGAAAGTGCTACACTAAAGTGCAATTTAGTGGTTTAGAGGGAAATAATATCAAAGGCACCTTTAGCCTCGTTGCCCTATATATATATATATATATATATTCCATGGCAGAATTAAGCTTCCGTACAATCCGTATTTTATAAAGCGCTTTAATATTGTGACTCTTATTGATTATAGTCTTATTGATCATACAGACACACTTTCACCATGCCATCAGTTCATCATGTGAATCCCTCTCTCTGAATGTGTTTGTTCACTCATAAATTGATCGTGCGAGTCAAACAGGTGGTGAATGCCTCATGTTGACTTCACTGGTCTCAGTGTTTGCTCAGTGGTTCCGTCAGCACACTCTGGTTCTGGTGTGTTCAGGTCCGGTCTGGCTGGATAACGTCTGGTGTTCGGGCAGCGAGAGCTCTCTGTCGGAGTGCCGGTCGAACGGCTGGGGTGTGAGCGACTGCACTCACGCTGAAGATCTGGGAGTCGTCTGCAGTCCGGATCCACCCAACCAGGGTCACGTCCCCCGGTACCAAGAGCCTCCTTCACCTCAGATCTCTAACCTGGTCTCGAATGCTCCTCAGCGCGGGCACGAGATCGGCCTCCACCGCGGCGGCCGCGGCCCGTCCTCGCCGCAGCTCACCGGCCATCACATCCAGCTGCGCAGGAACGGGTTCGAGAGCGCCGTCACCCCGCGGGGACACCAGATCCCGGACTTCCTGCGCAGCAGAGCCTCCTACAGACGAGCACAGGAAGTGACGCCCGCTCAGACCACACGAAACCCTGAGAGACCAGTGCCAGCGCCGGAGCCGGTTTACAGTCCCGAGCCGGTGCAGCACAGTAACAGGATGGATCTGGACGAGCAGGTCAGAGTCTCTAATGCTCACCATGGCTGCATTTATTTGATCAAAAATAGAGTAAAAATTTGAAATATTATTAGAATGTAAAACAGCTGTTTTCTATGTGAATATCTGTTAAACTGTTCTTTTGAACGTTCTATTCATCTGTGAATCCTGAAAATAATTATTCCAGGTTTTAGATGGTTTCTAGATGATCCAACGTGGTCATTAGTTGGTTGACCTACTAAACTGGTAGTCCGTCTTAGACCAGCATCACCCCAGCTCCACTAACTCTAGTCTGACCGGGTTAATCTGCTCAGTTTTTCCAGCGGTTAACAGTGTCATGTAATTGAAGACTAGCAGTGTAAACATGCTGTAAACCACAGTCGTTTAGAGCAAATTGTGTATTTTTGCTCTGTTTGAGGCTCTGAATAAATCAAGCTGGGTTTTTTTCTTTCGTATTCTCATTATATCAGACTCTATGAGCCACAATAGCCTGACGGATCAAATATGATACTTAACAAAAAACACACTTTATCTAAAGGTTGAATAAACTGTGTTTGTCCGTGTCTCTCTCAGTCGTCTGGGTCGCTCCGGCTGGACGAGGTGCGTCTCCGAGCCGTTCTGAGCGCCGCTCGGAGCGCTGCCATGGTGACGGAGGGTGTGCTGGAGGTGAGGCATGCTGGGAAATGGAGGCAGGTGTGTAGTGTGGGCTGGGATCTCAGCAGCAGTCGTGTGGTGTGTGGCATGCTGGGATTCCCGTCAGCGGAGCAGCTCGACACACGCGTGTACCGGTGAGTATGTGCGGTTCTGTGTTACATGGCTTCTAGAAGATCCTTGATCTTGAACTTGATCATTTTGGATCAGCAATAAACCAGCCTCCATGGTGTACTAACTAGGGTTATTATAGTTAACTAAAACTAAAACTGAAACTTAAATAATACGATAAAAAAAATTATGTTGGTACATAAAATAAAATATAAAAAACATTTGATTTCAAAAGTCTCAGAGCACTAGAGAAAATGCTTATATTTTGCATTTTTCTAATTTAATGCACATTTTGAACCAATTATACGTCAATGAAAGTTGATGTGGAACAAAATGTGAGAATGTCTCAGTATTTGGTGTCTTTCAGCGCCACTGAAACCAGGGATATTATAGTTGTTAAAAATTAAATTTAATTAAATTTAATTAAATTTAATTTAATTTAATTAAATTTAATTTAATTTAATTTAATTAAAAATTAATAATACATATTAACTGAAATAAAACTAAATATAGAAACTTAAACTTGTTTAAAAATGTTAAAAATTTATAATAAATGTTGAGTGAAATAAAATAAAATATAAAAACTTAAACTTTTTTAATAACTTATTTTAACTAGTTGCCACGGCAACATTTCTCAGTTTAATGTAGTTTAACTAAAATTAAAACTGACAAAAAATTAATTAAAATAAAATAAAAAAAAACTACTAAAAATGGCAAAAACACCTAAAATTAAAATAAGAACAGAAAATATCAAATAAAAGTCTAATTCAAAATATTAGCAAAAACTATAAAAGTATATTAATAATGCTAAAATAACATGGTCACTAACACTATGGAAGCCCGTTTCCGCCACTGAATAAAAAATAAAAAAAAGGTAATTGCGACTTTTTATCTCACAGTTCTGACTTTTTTTCTCAGAATTGCGTGATATAAACTCGCAATTGCGAGAAAAAAA